CAGGCGGATCTCTGTGAGTTCGAGGCCAGCCTGGGCTACTAAGTGAGTTCCAGGAAAGGCGCAAAGCTACACAGAGAAACCCTGTCTCGAAAAACAAAATAATAATAATAATAATAATAATAATAATTAGAGCAGTTCAGAAGCAGAAAGAACCATTTCATTAAATCCCGAACTTTCCGTCACCAGAACCACTTGAGAGCACAGCTTTGGCATCCTGAAGGTTCTCAGCACTAGAGCTCACGGTCGGTGACCAGTGACCACTCCTGCTTCTCAAAGTCTATGATTTAAGTGTGAATGCCAAGGTCATGCAGGACCCGCCAGAGCTGAGTTTTCAGCTCGGGGCTCCAACTCTGACCAGCTGTATGACCTTCAGCTAAGAAAGGTCATACAGTGGTGGGGGACCTCCACCCCCAGTTCCTTCATCTGGCTTCAACCAACGCCGCCTCAGTTGCTCCCTGGTACATCTGGCCCCTTGTATAGCCTTACAGCTTGTGGGAAAAGGAAGTTTCTGGCCTGCTTGCTACCTGCCATAAGTCTTCCTGCAGAGGGAAAGCTTTGTGGAAGAGCCCAAACCACTGATGCTGGAGGCCAGGGAACTAAACTCTCGCTTGCTCATGGGGGGACAGAGGCCAGCTGCGCAGCTGCAGTGTGTTCCCTGGAGAACGCCAACAGGAAGCCGATCATACAACTTGGTGGTCTGCCTTCTCTCAAACACCTGTCCCGACTTCAGCTCTGCCTCCTGAAACAGCCGGAGAGAAACGGGGGTCGTTTTACAACCGCGCCGCCCAGCTCTGTCTTGGGCAAACTTCATTCTCTGTTTGCTTAGTGAGCTGGCGATTGCTTTTGGAGTTTTGCTTATGATCACCAGAACAGACACTCACAGAGAGTGTCTTACTCTGTGGCAGATTTCTCCTCTAAGTTTTTCATAAATCAGTTTGCTTAATTAGCTTATCGGTTGAAAATCTAACGACAAATTGGCAGCATAGATCTTTCTCCCACTAGAAAAAGGGGAAAGCTAAAATTTTCCTTTGTCCTGATGATGAGAGAGCTCTTTATCTCCCGGATTCCATTGTTGACCAGGTGTGGCTTCTTTTGTGGCCCATTTTGTCCCTGTCCCTTTCTTCTCTGCCTGAGGTAAGGGTGTCATCACACTATTGCATGCTTGCTTTATGACATTCCTTTTTTGGCTTTTGTCTAAAGCTAATATCATAGTCTCCAAAGCTTAATTCCTTCCATTTCCCCCCCTAAAGACGTTTCACATATACTTATCGGTACACATGTCAGTTTGCGTTGATACAGACATAGAAGGCCGTGGACAGTTTATGAAATATCTCCCGCAGTTACTGAGGTCAGCTGGGGGAAGAAGTAAGAGGAGCCGGGCTGCTTGGAAAGCCCTGAGGAATCTAAACCTTCGTTCCTTGGCGGGCAGATCTGGCCATACTCACCCGATCCAAATACAGAGTCACATTTTCTCCCCATCTCTTTGTTTCCTGAGATTGGGAATGAAAACAGCTGTTAAAAATAAGAGCACATGAGTCATCTCGAGCCTCCACATGATAATTACAGTTTCCATTTCACTCCGTCCAGTCCTATCCCAGCGTGCTGAGCCCTGGATCACAGTCCCACTGTGGGGAGAGCCCCGCAGCTGGCACAGGCAATTGTATAGGACGACCTTCATTTTCATTTTCTAGTCCTCTGAGGCTAAACACTGAATGAGTTGCCAAGCCAAGAAAAATAACAAGAAAGAAGATATTTCAATTTGAAAACTTGATTTGCAAGGCAGGCCATTTTTCCAGTTTTCCCTTTGGAGCAAAACTCTGTGTTGATGTTGGAAATGTTGGTTCCTCCTCTGTGATTTTGAAGGTGTCTCTCTTCGGCTTTGTGGCACCCTGACTAGGAAAACTCTTTAACTCTTGTAGATGCTGTGTTTCCTCTTGTAAGTGCCTGGTGCTTTATAAGCTAGATTACCAACCTCACGGAAGGTCATCCTCAGTCTGCCGGTTGGTTGCCACCTGCCAGGACAGACTGAGTCTCTTAAGTCATGCCCAGTCCCCATAAGAACGATTTAACCTTGACTGAGTAAGGTCTTGACTGAGTAATTCTGCTGCTCTAACGCTAAGGTGCCACCCCTCCCGACAGAGAGCCAGCTGCCTTCATTCTAACAGCACCAACATTTGCAGATTATAGATTATATAGAGGCTACAGTTTCCAGCAAGAGAGCTATGAGCCATTTTGCAGTGGAAGCTTGCCCTTTAACCACCCGATATTTCCCCCTTCTAGGAGTGGATTTCTTTATGATTTGATTAGGGTGTGTGTATGTGTGTGTGTGCGCGCGCGCGTGCGTGCGTGCGTGCGTGCGTGCGTGCGTGCGTGCGTGGTGGACATGAAACTTATCAAATTTAGGACCAATACATGCTACGTAAACTCTCTACCACTGAGTTGCACTCCCAGAAGCGCCTGGTTAGATTATTTTTGAATTTTATTTGCAGTGATTGATCGTGGAGGTATGTGTGCCATGATATAGGACAGAGGACAACTTGTAAGAGTTGGTTCTTTCCTGCCACCATGTATGTCTCAGGGATTGAACTCTGATCATCAAACTTGATGACTGTCTTAGTTTGGGTTTCTGTTGCCGTGAAGAGACGCCATGACCGTGGCAACACCTATAAAGGAAAAACATTTAATTGCAGTGGCTCCCTTACAGGTCAGAGGTTTAGTCCATTATCATGATAGGACACAGCGGCTGGGAGTGTGGCAGCGTGCAGGCAGACCTGGTCTTGGAGAGGGAACTGAGAATTCTTACATCTTGACTCTTGGGCAAGAAGAAGTGATCCTGAGACACTGGGAGGGCTTGAGCATATGTGAGACCTCAAAGCCCACCCCCACAGTGACACACTTCCTCTATCAAGGCCACACCTACTCCAATAAGGCCACACCTCCTAATAGTGCCACTCCTTTGGGGGGGTCATTTTTTTTTTCAAACTACCATAGTGGCAAACACCTTTGCCCCCTGAACCATCTGGCTGGTCCAAGATTATTTTTAAAGTTCATTTCCCACATGAAAAAGCTCTACAATTCTCTTACATTTCCTCCTCCAAGAGCTAGTTTTAGCTGGTGTGATGACGCATGCCTGTAATTCCAGCACTCAGGAGGCTGGGACAGGATTGTGAGTTCCAAGTGTGCCTGGGCTACAGAGTGAGTCTCTCAGCAAACCCTAAATAAAAACAAAAACAAAAACAAAAAAACAAAAAAACAAAATGAAAACCAATAAAAAACAAACAAAAGAAAAGAAAAGAAAAAAATGTGTTGGGAAAGAAGACACATAGTATGACTTATGGAATTCTGAGTAGATTATTCAGTCCCTGGTCCCAGCTCCATACCTTAAATCCTACCACTGAATAGTCACTCCTTTCTGGCGATATCTTATTTGTCAGCTATAATACGATTAATATTAATATTAAAAATGTAATATTTTACCAGACAGTGGTAGCACATGCCCTTAATCCTAGCACTTGGGAGGCAGAGGCAGGTGGATCTCTGTGAGTTCTAGGCCAGCCTGGGCTACAGGGCAAGTTCCAGGACAGCCAGGGCTACACTCGTCAAGTTAGGACGTGTAATGTAATGATTAGAAGCAGGCTTAAAGTCAGATGCCTACCCCAGGTCTACCTGGATCCTCTGCTCACTATCTGTGTGACCACAGGCAGTCAGTTCAGCTTTCTGTGCCTTGTCAGCGTCGTCTGTCAAATGAGGTGATAACCGGGCTTTCCTCTGGGATTTTTGTCAGTTCTCAGTGAAATAGGTGAGGTGCTTAAATAAACAGCATCCTGCTCTGTGTCATCAATTATCACTTTCATTTACATAAATTAGCATTCTATATAGACGTGCTTTTTGACAGAAAGGGCTGATGTCAGCTTACAGAGAAATGGGATGTTAGCTTGGGTTCAGATGCACCACTAATGGATTGCTCATACGAGGGTTAGTTATTGGTAGCATGCAATCACTGGATGCCTGGAGGAAGCATTTGAGTCATGTGAGGGGGAAAGAGAGAGAGAGAGAGAGAGAGAGAGAGGGGGGGGGGGATTGGGGGAAGGTGGTGGTGGTTCTGACCACTTTGCCCAGTAAGTGATGGAATCATCAGCTTGGACAGTGAGTAAGCAGTATGATGTACACCTGCAGATGTATAGCTCATGGACGACTTACTTAGCTTTCTGTGTTCTCATAGTTTGGTGCCTTGTAATAAAAAACGTTTCTTCCTTGGACTTGAAGAACCAGAGAAAAATGCAAAACAGCGTTTCTCGTCATTGAATGCCCCCCCCCTTTCTCTCTTTTAGATTACACGAAGCAGACGACGTTTGAAGCCCAGGCCTTTTTACAAGCTGTGCAGTTCTTCCGGCAGGAGAAGGGTCACTATGGCTCCTGGGAGATGATCACTGGGGATGAAGTCCAGGTAATGTGGGGCTCCGAGCTGTGGATCCTCCATCGGTGGAGTAGGAGGCCATTTAACGAGTGAGCCTCAGAAAGCTGCATGAATAGAAATTGTGGGTCCCAGGCCATTTCCCCCCTGCTGTCTAAAAGCATCCTGTTAGTAAGCCTCTGGGTACCCAATACGAAGACCAGCAGAGCTGGCATCCAGCAGGGCAGCCCACAACACTGCTGTCAGGTCACTAGATGTGCAAAGCCAGATGTTTGCTCACGATAATGGACATGCTCTTGGTTGTTTTAGAGTGTGAGCCAAAGGCTTCCCCTCTCTCTGTGTTGAGTATGTTTGTACACATCCATTACTGTTTGATGGGTCGTGGGTGATTGCAGTGGAGAGAGACACTCACCAAGATGCTAAGCCTTCATTTTCTGAAGGAGCAGAGAGACACAGCCTTCTTGGAAAAGACCGACACCCAGCTAGCTCACTCCAGTTCCTTATTCAAACATATACAAGGTTAATAAGGAATGGGAAAGATTCCAACTACCAAAGTCATCTTGCTTTTGCCGCCCGCGAGAGCAGACAACCCACACACATCTCAGTCCCTTTTGATCATGCCTAGCCGTAATCACAAGTAAGAACCCCAGGTCTGCCAGAAATGTCTTAGGACCAAGATCGGTGCAGCTGCGAGCTCTCACGTAGCACCAAGTGCAGATTCTCCAGAGAGTCAACACTTCTTCAAGGTTTAACAAGTCTCAAAACAATTTCCCAGCACCTACTCTTAGCCCAAACACAGCGAAGGCTTTGCTGAAACATTTCACTCAAAGCCAGACACGAAGTCTTTACTATACATGTCACTTAAAGCCAGACATAAAGGCTTTACTTTACACATCACTACAGCCACACACGTATTTGTGTATTCCCCAACCTGAGAACACTGTAGAACTTTCAACAGTTCTTAGTCTCTGATATTTTGCAGAAGTGCATCCATTTAAAACTTGGAGAAGATGAAAGATTTATAAGACTTGATGCCCCCAAGAAAACCCCAAGTACAAGAAGTGGAAGCATTTGATACTGACCAGCCTAGCAAATGGACAACACTTTTAACAGTTAACAGATAGTAGAGAGATCTGTATCAAAATGCTTGTGTGAGTCATTTGATAGTGTTCAAATCCTGAGTCTGTTTGTGTTGACAGTCTTAGGGAGTGGGAAGTCTGTGTGAGGGACCTGGGAGGTACAGAGTAGCTAAGTGACCTCGAAGTCTTACACATAAGGTAACTTTGAGGGCCCACTCTATACCCAGGCATTGTGCTGGGTGCCTGTGGTTCCTGCCTGTGTGGATGATGGTCTCGGGGTTATATGTGAGTGGACAGATGACATAGGAAGACTTTCTTCTACCCCTGATCCAGGAGCCTAACCCTAACCATGGAGATAGGCTGGTGTTTATCATCTATAAAATATATCATATTTTCTTCCACTCACAATCTTATCGTATGTCAGTTCACTTTCCTTTACACTGAAAACAAATATTTAATAGATCTTTTCTGGGCTTGAGCCTTTCAGGTTTTTTGTGTTTTCTGTGTTTTCTTTATCCTTTAGGCTAACATGTGCTAAGTGCTACAGAGAATGTGAAAGAGCTGAATGACACTTTTTACATTATTCTCTTCATAGTAATGACTCACATGAGTATGGCAGGCCTTCATGGTGATGGTTATTTTAGGCAAAGATCCAGGCTGAGAAGTGTCTCAGAATAGCATGCCTGGCAGGCTCTTAAAGTGAAACTATTTGTATGCTGGTAAAAACATCAACTTATTTTCTATTTGTCAATATGAGCTAACTGAAATCATGAGAGAAAGCGATCTGCAAAAATGTCGAGTAGCTGCAGGTACAAGGTGCACTGATCATTTGCCTTTAATCAGCCGGGGAGGTGAGACTCGCTAGTGCTTCCCACAGAGCTGGCTGACTCCATGACCAGAAAACTGTCCACCGCGGAGGTCTGGCCCACTCCTTCTAGACTGGTCTTAATTCAAATGATCTGGAGTGTGGTCCTCGTCCTCTAGATAGATACGCTCGCCTACAATCCTTCAGTAACACAGGGGCCAGTCAGACATGGGGCCTGCCTTCGGCAGGGGCATCATCCTTTCCCGGGTTCACCCCTCCTCACAGCTTTCCGTCTGAAAGGAAGTATGGTAGCCTTTCAGTGAGTGCCCCCTGGGTGTTTGAGGGCACAGTGGTGTGGCCTTCTGTGAGTGGTTTGGGGTTTGTTGTTCTTGTTTTGGGGGACAGGGTCTCAGCATGTAGCTCGGGCTGACCACAAACTCTTGCCTATCCCCTCCCCCCCCCCCAGCTTCCTTAGTCATAGATTGGAGGCCTACACCACCATGCCCTGCTTGGTTTATTTGTTTTGATTAATCTGATGACACGTTTGGCTTCTTATATGTGTGATGAAATTTTAGCCTCCATGTCCCAGCAGTTAAAATTTCCGACCACCTGCTCTCCTTTTTAAAATACAAAATTATGAAAATTATATTTTCAGGTTCCTTGTGGTAAAAACTCATTATGTCCTGTTTGATGGGGAGGTCAGAGAATCTTCACTATTGTATTTATTAGATCAGCTACTTTCCCTCCAAAAGCCCAGGACTTTGCTTATGGAGAGCTGGCCAGGTCAGGTGACCCTGAGTGGGCAGGAGAGGGACAAAGTGGTGTCAGGGTGGAGCTGGCATCCTGAGGAAGATGATGTCGGGATGAGGTGTGGCTGGGCCTGGGGACCACAGTCTCTCGCAGCTTCAGGCTGCTCCCAGCCCCGACCCGCTCATCACCCTATGGCTTCTCCTCCCCCTCTTTCTTTTCTTCCCAGACATGTTTTCTTTTTAAGTCCCTGAATTGTAAAATAGAAGCAAGTTTCTTGGAACACTGTGTGGGAAAGACCAGAAAACTGCAAGCCCACCCAAATGGAATGCTGGTTTTCTTTGGCCTTTGTGTACTACATTTGTGTCTTCTCAACTCTGTTCACACTCACGCTCACAACCAATCCCGTCTCTGCAGAAGGACTAATCAGGAGAACTGAGACTCGTGAGTTTAAGGCTTCTCAGTCATGGTGGCATTTCCTGTTCAGCTTTGCTTTGGTCTCTGCGCCTCTTAGCTCTGTCTCCTCAGGTCTCACTGGATGACTCTAGGGCATTGGTTCCAAACAAGAACTTACCCAGGAGGGGGCCTGGGCACCACTAGTTACCCATTGAATCGACTTGTTGAACCTGCTGATTTCCATGATGTTTACCTACGTCAAGTTTCTTGTAATTTCCTTAAAAAAAAAAAAATGGCGATCCATCTCTAGTTGGCCACAGAGAGTGGTTAAGAAAGGCAAACATGGTCCATCAGTGAATTTCCAAGGCCTGTGAAAGTCCTGTCTCTGTTATCTTCATCACTAGAGGTAGATCCACACTGCAGCCCTTCAGGCTGTGCTGAACCTATCAGCTCCCTTCCCAGGAGCCCAAGGGGCTCAAGGGAGCAGCCTGCTTGTCGCTCAGTCCAACGTGTCCCACCCTGCCATAATGGAGCCCTGGAGAAAGGCCAAGTCCAGTGAGCTGGCGAGGATTTCCACTGGCTTGTGGCTGACCCGTGAGCTCAGAGAGAACTTCCCTAACTCCCAATGTAATTTTAATTTATGAGAAGGAGGAGGTCGGTTGTTTTGGGTAAATATTATTGCAACTTCACAGAGCAGATGTCTCGCGTGGTCGCGCGCTCTGCCGCCTGCTGCCGTTCCCAGCCATGCCCTCGCCTTTTAGCAGACCTTAGTCTGCAGGCTGCTGTTGCAGCTGAGCTGTGACCCTGAGAAGACTCCTGGTTAAGTGAGTCTGAGCAGCAGAGATACCCCAAGTCGGGGTCTGGGAGCAGAGAAGGAAGGGTGGGGACGTTACGAGTGGACATGTGGAGGATGGCTCAGATCCAAGGGAACATGTGCACTGATCAGCACAAAATTTTAGGGTAGATTTGGGAACATTCCCACAAAGCACTCGGAAAACTTTCCATGTCCCCTTAATGCTGCTTAGTCCACAATTGTCAAATTGTTTCATAGTACTGGGTGCTAATTTATCTTTCTATTGTTTGCCTAGCAGGGTCCTGGTTTCTTAATGGTAACTTTTCATAAGCAGTCATGTTATTCCAGCCAGTGCATGCATAATTAAAAGTGTGGAGCAAGTTTGCAGCTCCCTTCTGTGGTGGATGGCTGCAGGGAAAGCTGCTGTCCAAACACAATGTTGTCTTCATTTGGTCAACAGGGACCGTTTAGAACAAAGGTTGCCACTTCCCAGTTCCCACGTCCTCGTTGAGCACATTTTCATCAGCCAACCTTGGCTCTCAGGAAATGACAGGGAAGTGGCAGACTTAGCCATCTGATCTCTCCAGCCAAGGAAAGGAGCCACTTGCTCTCCTAGGGGACTCCATCTTCCCGGTATTGCTGCAAAGTCGGCATACCAGTAGCCGGTTTCAGGAGTCTGGTTTTCACAGGCCTCTGGGTTTAATGACGTTGCATACAGAAAGCAGTGTGGGAGAAGAGACCATAAAAAAGAAATTTAGCGTTTTCTGTGCCCTAGACATTAGCCCAGATGGCTGTGTGTCCCTGGAAGGAAATCCCTTCTCCTGGGAGCCAAGAAATAGTCCTTCCAAACTATAAAGCAAAAATATCTCTGCCATGGCAATCCAGCCTGGGAGACGTTTATTAATGACATGTGACCCTCCCCTTTAAAACACAGTGAAACAATGAAACATTCTGTTGCTTAACAATGTAAGCTTAAAAACAAGCAAAACAATTCTGCAGCTTTGCTTTGGTTGTTTTGTTTTGAGACAGGATCTCACCAAGTAGCTCACACTGACACCCCCCCCCCATGTTTGATCTTCTTGGCTCAACCTCTTAAGTATTGGGATTATAGGCACACACAACTACATCCCACAAAACGTCCTTTAAAAATACTATTTTAAAGTAGGCAGTGTCCAGGTATGCACAGTCATTCACACACTCACATGCCCGCATGCGTGCGCGTACACACACACACACACACACACACACACACACACACTGGCATCAACAGTGCCCTCAGCTCTCTGTGCCTGGTCTGTTTGGACATCTCTGTTTCCTGCAGGTGATTCCCATTTTTGCCAGCACCAGCGTCTCCCTTGTCCCTCTGGTACAGTCTCTTCCTTCTTTCCAAGGCTTGCGCTCTTTGGAGGAGGTTTAGCCCACCACCTGAAGAGCGTCTCCAGTTTTGTGCATTACCTTGGCTTTGTCTCCTACACCACCTCCTCCAACCCTTTCCTTGGACAAGCTAGCCGGGATGGGGGACAGGAGAACTGAGCTGGGCAGGGTGGTGCGAGCCTGGAGTGGTCGGGCACTTGTCACCTCTGCTTTACTCTGTCCCTTCCTTCTTTATGTAAACACTGGAGGATGGAAAGCATCTTTGGGAAGAGCAGGAATAAGGAGATTGAGACACGAGGCTTGAGAAAGAATGATCGTCCTAGGAAGACTGACCAGGCTCACGCCATCACGTTCAAACTTGATGCTCCTGTTTAAGGATGCCTTGTCTGCCATTGAAAGCTCCCCTCTCAACCCTTAAAAACTGTGATAGGGATGCTGAAGTGTAGCTGTTCACAGTCGATGACTTCTGGCGGGGGTTGGGGTGGGGAAGGACTCCGTTTTTTTGAGGGGGCTGGCCGCCGGGAGGTTGACGTTTCAGTGAGTATATGGGCAGCACAAATTGGACTTGGTATTTTTTTTTTTTTTTTTTTTTTGGTTTTTCGAGACAGGGTTTCTCTGTGTAGCTTTGCACCCTTCCTTGATCTTGTGCTTGGTAGCCCAGGCTGGCCTCGAACTCAGATCCGCCTGGCTCTGCCTCCCGAGTGCTGGGATTAAAGGCGTGCGCCACCACCGCCCGGCTGGACTTGGTATTTTTTTCTTTGTTTTTCTTTTTCCTTTTCTTTGAGGGAGATCACAAGGGAGGGGAGAGTAGATGTGGGAGGACTGGGAAGTGAGTGTGGTCGGGGTGCATGATGTGAAACTCCCAAATAATCAATATAAATACTATGTTGGGGAAAAAAAAAAGAGAGCTCCCCTCTCATTCTAAATGCATGGAGTCCTTTTAGCATGAACATAAGAGTTTGAATTTGAGGAAAGCGTTCTTCCCATTGAGATAACAGCAATAGCCACACTTCTGCTCCCTGTGAATGTTGGAGAATATTCACCTCTGAGATTGTGAACCCAGATTTCAGGTGCTCATCATAGGCACAGCCATGAGTCCCATCCCCAGCATCCACACTCATCTTCTTTCATTCCTCACCCCCCGCCCCCACCTATGAGCCTGTGTAGCCCAGGACAGGGACACTGTCAGGAGACCTCTAGCTGGCCTTCATCCTGCGGGATTCCTCCCCTTTCCCCTGCAGGTCCTGAGTAAGCTGGTGATGGAGGAGCTCCTGCCGACCCTTCAGACCGACCTGCTGCCCAAGATGAAGGGGAGGAGGAACGAGAGGAAGAGGGCCTGGTTTGGTGTAAGTGATAATGTGGCTTTGCCACTGTGCTGTCGAAGTGGACGTTCCCATCTCTCTGCATTTTAGGGCATTTGGTGTCATTTTAAAATAATTCCTTCCTAGGTAGAAAACTGTCTGCCTTGAGCCTGCTCCATCCCACTGACCTAAGAACTAATCTAAACAGAGTTGAACTTGAGCTTTGAATGTACACTCGGTCTTGTTTAGGTGGGAGTCTGTGCTGGGCCTGCTTCCCTCCCTTCTGTGACCCCCTCAGTCATGGGTCCTGTGCCGTTCCGCATTTCAGCTCCTGGAGGAGGCCTACACTCTGGTTCAGCACCAAGTTTCCGAAGGATTAAGTGCCTTGAAGGAGGAGTGCCGAGCTCTGACCAAGGGCCTGGAAGGGACCATCCGCTCAGACATGGATCAGATTGTGAACTCGAAGAACTTTCTAGCCGGGAAGATCCGAGGTTGGTGGAGTAACCCCTTGCTGTTCCTAATAAATAAGCTGTCCACTTAGAGATCCACACAGAGAGAGAATGGGTTGAGCCTTTGTACATCATATGCACAGCCATGAGTCCCATCCTAGGGGGTCTCACATCTATGGATTCAACCAACTACCAATTGAAAATGCCAGAGAAAAATGTCTGCAATAATCAAGTGTAGATTTCCCTATTATTCCCCTAACAATAGTGTGGCAGCTATGTGACACCTACATTGTATTCAGTATTAAATGTAAACCAAAGATGACTTAAAGCATGCGAGACCTGTGGTTGGATGTGCAAGGTTCTATTAAGAGACTCTATCATTTGATAGCAGGAATTTTAGTGTCGGAGGATTTTGGCCTCCTCTAAGGTGGGGGTGGGGGATCCCAGAACGGATTGCCCTCAGATCATGTATCTGCCTTCAGAGAAGAAGGATGAGGGAATTGAGGGGAGACAATAGCAGCTGTAGTAGGAGCATGCTGTCGCATTATTAAGGACCCTCAACTTACCCTGGATGCTTTGTAGACTCAAGGTGGAAGGAATCTTGCTTCCTGCCTGGTGATGGTGCCTGTGTGTTGTGGTAAAAAAAACCTCCGATTTTTGCTGAGGGTCAGCCAATTTGTGTCTGTAGCCCTGAGTCAGTGTGTGTATGAGCCAGTCAGGTGTTCCTGAGGAGGTCGCTTTGCCTCTGTTTGCCTTAGTCTACTACTCTGAAATTAGAAGGGCCAAGAGTGTGGCTGGCCAACTGTGGTCCTCAGGCCGGATCGGGTCCCAGTTGATTTCGTCAATGATGTCATATTGAACACAGCCATGCTCGTTCATGAGTTCACAGTCTAAGCTGCTTTGTGTTGCCACATTAGAACTGAGTTGGTGGAACCTTAAGAGGGACCTGAAGGACTGCAGAGCCACAGATATTTATTGTCTGGCCCTTGGCAGAAAATGGCTGTCCCATCCCCACAGAGAGGCCTTAGGTAGCCTTGGAGGGGTCTATAGGACACTTTCTGCAGTTTCATATTCTGTCTAAGTCCTGAACCTAATGCACAGAGCATGCCTACTGTCTCTGCGGAGGGAGGACGTGGAAGCTTCTCAGCTACTGCTTCTCAGCAGTGTTTCTGGATAGTCAGTGCGCAGATGATTACTCACACACTAGTGGTAGAGCTTGAATTCCTGTGCTCCCGAGGTAGCCTGTCTAACGGGGTTGTCTGCTTGGCAGATTATCTTCTGCACTTCATACCTTCTCCACACTACAGCCCAACATGCTCCAGAGTGCTTAGGATGGTTTCTCCTGAGAGGAGGTTAGAAGAGTCTTAACTGTGCAAATGTGTGGTGTTTGTGGGCCTGTCTGCACTGCCTCCAAAGCCAGTACAGATTAGCATCAGAGTGATTTCTGTTTGATACTGTCCAGCCTCACAGCCCATATAGGGGTAGCATATGTTGCAATTCTATGTATACCTAAACCTGCCAAAGTTCTGTTCTCTCAGACCCATCCAGGCCCAACTACCCAGGCTGAAATTAGACCAGTGTCCTTTACCTGATCCTTTGTAGCTCCCAGAGTAGTAGTTGTTCCCTAAAATAACTCTTGCAAGGAAGTAATGGACAAACCTTTTTGAAAACAAGGATCAGGCAGGTATAGTGGACTCACCAGTAATCTTTAGCACTCAGGGAGCTGTGGTCAGGAGGATGGTGAGTTCCATGGAGGCTGGAAAAGAAAGTGTGACATTGGAAAGAAAAAAAGAGGAAGACAGGGGAGGAAGAAGGAAAGGCAGAGAGCAAGGAAAACATCAGACACATTGTAACTGGGCCTCTGCCTGTCTACCTTTAAAACAAGGAAGCCAACTGCACTGATGAAGGATATTGGATTTCGGGAAAGCTTTGGGAACATTAAGTAGTTATCTTCGTTGGTGTTATATTGCTGGGAAGAGACACCATCACCACAGCAGCTCTTATAAAAGGAAGCACTTAACTGGGGCTGGCTTACAGTTTCAGAGGCTTTGTCCATCATTGCCATGTTGGGGATCATGGGAGTACACACAGTGCTGGAGAAGTAGCTGAGAGGTCTACATCCAGATCCACGGGCTGCTGAAAGAGACAGACACTGGTCCTGCCTCCCAATGACACACTTCCTCCAACAAGGCCACACCTCCTAATCCTTCTCAAGTAGTGCCATTCCCTGATGGCTAAGCATTAAAATATATGAGCCTATAGGGGCCATTCTTATTCAAACCACCACAGTGGTCATCTCTTCATTTCTACCCATATGGCACTTGGGAGAAAAGCCATTGATTGTCAGTTCTGCTCCACAATTATCTGTTCAGTAAGAACTTACTCAGCTCGTGCTGACTGTAAGGACCCAGAGGCTTCCGATCAACACACTTTTATACATGGAAGACATGGAGCATTTTGTAGATGCCGGGGCCATTTCAGAAAACGGGTGGCCTCTTCAGGAGGGCACTGCTCTAGTCTTAGGTGATGAGAAAGTATGAGAAAGCCCGCAGCCCTGTGCTCCTCGGGTGTCACAACTATTCTAAGCACTCTGGAAAATAGTAAACTTTTCCTCCTCACCGTAACCCTAAGAGTAATTACTCCTGTGATCTCTGTTTAACAGATAAGAAAACTGAGACCACGGTTAAGGAATATTCCTGACTCCCCGAGGCTGGTGCTCAGCAGGCTCTGACTCCAGTCCCAGCAGCCCCAGCTGTCTAGGCTTCTCCACAGCTGCCCAACATCAGGGAGGCTCTTGAATTAGTGTCACCACCACTATTGTCACCACAGCCTCATCCATGTGTACCTGGAAGAGGGTACCGTGTATATACGTGGGGTTCAAATTTGACTCTGCCCGTAAGGAAACACCCGCAGGCCACAGGTCACGAAGTTTGGTGGGGGCGGTCATTAGACTGTCCCAGGTCTGTGACCTATGAACTGGACCCTGAAGCCACGATGAAGAGGAGGTTGGCATGCAGAAGTGGAGGAAGGAAGGGCCGGTTGAAAGGACACTGGATGGGGGCGTGGCGTTGGGGCTGGAGCGCAGGGCCCTCAGTAGCAGGCAGGGGAAGCTGAGGAGAGGGACTTGGCATCTCCACTCACCTCACAAATGGCATCCCCAGCACGGCCAGACCATCGCTGGGTGTTGTCAATGCTCAGGATTATCCCGAAACTCCAATTAGATGCTTTTCAAACTGTTCCTCTCACAGTTAATTAACCGACAGTTTATTTTCTTGGCAGGCACCTTTGCAATTTGGTTTCAAACGAGGCCTTCTTTCAAATTTTACAAAACTCAAATTGTTCCGTATTCAAATCTATCATCAAAAGGGTCTTTTATTTATTCTTTGATTATTTCATACATGTGTACAATGTATCTTGATTATACCCACTCACAACTCCCCTCTCCTACCCTCTACACCCCGCCCCCCATCTTCATTCTCCTCTCTCTTCTCAGTAAACCAAGTCCAATCAGTGCTACCTGTGAGAACGCTGATGGGTCTTATGAGGTCTTTTATTTTTTCACACCATTTCGTGTGTGTGTGTGTGTGTGTGTGTGTGTGTGTGTGTGTGCGTGCACGCAAATGGGTCTGCACATGGAATTGCACATTTCACATGTGTGGAGGTCAAAGAACATCTTCCAGGAGTCAGCTCTCTCTTCCTGCCATGTGGGTCTTGGGGGTCACCTCAGGACATCAGACCTGGCAGGAAGCTTCCTCACCCACTCAACCATCTTGCTGGCGCCTGTGCAGGTCTTGAATGGGTAACTGTCATGCACTGAGTCCATGAACGCAACAGCAATGCCACGTCCAGAATAACCTACACACAGTTCGGAGTTACAATCCTCCATTTGCACATCAGTCTTGACGTTGGGAAAGTCATCTACCCTGGTCAGCTTTCTCCTGTTTCTATATGGAAAGTGGAACAGCTGGGCAGCCAAGGCCGTTGGCTCCTCCCTTTTGGGTCCGTGACAATGTGACAGAGCTATGTGACAGAACTCTCCCAAGTTGGCCTTCCCAGTCCATGCATTGTGCTTCTCCTCTACCACCACATCGCTGCTTCTGAGCCTGGGTGCCCAGGAGGATGTCCTCCGTACCCAAAGCATGCAGGTGCCCTGCCCCGCTCAGCTTCCACAGAGCCGGGTTCAAAAACAGTGTCTGTCTCTAGAGGGTGGGATGATGGTGAGATGGATTGTTTTCATCCCTCCTATGATTTTCTAAGTGTGTGTGTATGTGTGTGTGTGTGTGTGTGTGTGTGTGTGTATGTGTGTATGTGTGTGTGTGTCTGAATGGAACCTGGTGCCATTTGCCTGAGGCTGTATTTGGGTTCTTCAAAGGTCTCTGTGATGGTAGCAGGTGGATGAGTTACACTGAGTTAGTATTCAGAGAAGTGAATGAAAACCGATAAATTCTATTTTAGATGACGAAGTGTTCATCCGTGACGATGACGGTGGGGAGTGAATCTGGCCATTGCACATTTGTGGAGGTCAAACAGAGACTCCGTTCTTCCCAGGGCAGGATGGCGCCCAGGGAGGGAGACATCGTGGAGACACCCTAGGTCTCACAGCGCTCAGTGGGTTTCCAGCCCGGTGGATGCTGGCAAAAGATCCATTATCCTAGTCTGCTCTGCCCATCTGAACGGGCCCCTGGGGCCATTCAGCTGCGACGTGGCCTCTGAATCGAACTTTGCCCTAGGTCATGCTTCCTTTTGACCTTTTCCTCCCTCAGCAATGGTGGCTCAGCCAGCTGAGAAGAGCTGTGGGGACAGCGTGCAGCCGTTCCTGGCGTCCATTCTGGAGGAGCTGATGGGGCCGGTGAGCTCAGGCTTCAGTGAGGTCCGTGCCCTTTTCGAAAAAGAAGTAGACGAGCTCAGCCAGAGCTTCCACGCCACCCAGGACGGTGTCCAGCTGAAGGAGGTAGGAGTGCGAGCAAGTTCCCAACCGCTGCTGGCCCGCCTTCCCATGGTGCCTTTCTCTCTCCTCCCTTCCCCCAACCTTGATCCTCCCCTCTCTCCTGTCCCCTCCATCTCCTCCTCTCCCCTCCTCTCCCCTCCTCTCCCCTTTCAGTCCCCTCCAGCCTCTCCTTCTCTCTCCTCTTCCCTTTCCCCTTCTGTCCATTTATCTGGTGTTTCTACTATCTATCCAACTAACTCATTCACCCATCCATTCATACGTAAACCCACCTAATTTTCCTTATTAATGGTTTTTAAGTTGCAAAAATAATGTTTGTACCCGTGAAACAACCAACTCAAATATATAATTCGATGTCCACAAAGAGGCAAAATTAGTAGCCAGAACTGATACCAATTGCCCTTCTTCCTTCTGCGTCCGTTCCCAAGCCCTGGAACTGACTGATAGAAACAGTCCAGTGTGTGTTTACCTGCGTGCTTTATTTGTTTATATGTAAGTCCTGCCGCTTTGTTTCCACAGCTGTAGATTCCTGATAATAAACCCATGCTTGTCAAGCAGCAGTGACCCCTCACTCTATTGAATCCGGAAGTAAGGGGTGGGGGGGGGAGGGGAGTGATCTGCTCTAATAGAACTAATAGTTCTAATAGAACTCCAGCGGGGATTTGCTGGCATAGACCCGGGCAGCTTGCCTTGCACTTACCATATCATTAAGGACAGGATTTGTCAGGGTGATCATTCTTTCTCCCTCCCTCCTGATATCAGTTAAAAGGGTTTCCCTTTTAATCGGGCCATTGTAACCGTACACATTTATGGGCTGCAGTGTGACAGTGTTACCCAGATGTGTGAAGGCAGAAGCCTGGCTCCCGCAGCCCCAACAGGCTCTGCTCAGCTACCTGTCACAACATGCCAATAAAAGAGATGAGTAGTGGTGACAGGCAGAGGAGAGAGGTCTGTTTAATGTGCCCACTTTGGGAGAGGAGCGGATAAAGGAGTCCGGAGATGCAAGTCTGTCTCCGAAGGGCTGACGTGAGCTTTAGGTTTCAATAGAGGGAGAATTGGGCGGGACCCTGATCAGCTCTCCTGGTCTCCCTGACCACCCATCCACCTCTAGCTCTTCCGTTTCCACGTAGTTCTTATCTTAACACATAAGGGGATCCATCTGATCCCTGCAGGATGATCTCTTCTGCTCCAGGGGTAGCCATGCCTGCAAGGGTAACGCTCTCATCTATAAGTGGCTAATCCTGGGAGGCTCTGCTCCTCCTAGGATCCAAAGTGACTGTCGGTTTAAGACAATGACTTATCTCTGTGCCTTCAGCCAAGGTAAAGGAGCCAGACAGTTCCGAAGTGAAGGTGGAGAGAGATGCCAGCATTTAATTACTCTGCTTCAGTTACCTGTGGACCTGACGGAGGAGTCCATGCTTTTCTAGCACAAGCAGCTTCTACATGCCTGCTTCAGCAGTTTATACGTGCAGATGGTGTGGAATGATCGAAGAAGTAATCCCCACTTCCATTCCCTTAAACATTTTTCATTTCTGTGGGTTGGCAGAGCCTCGGGCTCATTATAAAATACATGATAGATTGCTGTAAGCCACAGCCACCCTCCTGTGCTGTGCTTTCTCCTTTCTTTATGGACACACCCACGTGTGTGATTGTACAAAGCCAAGATCGGTTCATAAATGCCTTGATGCTTCTTATTACAGCCGTACGTGTGCATGTGTATGCGCGCACACGCCTGTGTGGGGGTGTGAACATGTGAGTATGTGTGTGCATGTGTGTATATATGGCTATGTGTATATGGATGCCTATGTGGTGTGTGTGTATGGGTATGGTGTGCAGGTACTTGTGTGTGTATGTGTGTGTGTGTGTTTCAACTTGTCTTTATTCCTCTTCATTTCCTGGCGCCACTCACTTCTCTGCAAAAACAAACAAACAAATAAATAGAAGCACCGCCTCAGCTTGTGCTGTTCTGTACCCTCTCCCTCTTAGAAGACAGAGAAGACACACACATTTCAGAACTGTTGTCTTACGTTGCTCACTTTTAGAAAAATACAGTTATTTTATATACTAAACTGCTTATCAGGTTTCTTCTTCAAAATGACTTCATGAAACTGTTTCCAAGGTAACTGATCTAGTTCTGAATCACTTTTCGTAATGACAGCATGATATTTCATGTTTAGAAATGCCATGATTTATTCAGCCATCCCATTATTGCTGACACCATGAGCAAAGTTATAATAAATAACCTCGTACATATATCCTATCGTATTGTAGCTACACGTATGTGTGTACACATACACGTTCCTTATATCTTGACACTTTTATTTCAATGGAATAGATCCCTAGGTTGAAAGATACATTTTCATGTTAACAGATGTTTCCCTTCAATTTCGAAAGAATTTTAAGTTTTGCATTGTACTGATTTGTTTGTGGCAGGGAGCCTTCTCCCCATGTTACCATCTGTGAGGGGTGTTATCACTTATTTAAACTCTCAACAATTTGATAGTAATAAAGTAGGTGCCCATTTTTCCTCTCTTGCCTATCCAATTAGTTGTTTAAAGTAATATATTCCCGGCACTGGAGTGATGGGTCAGCCGTTAAGTGCACTTGCTGCTCCTCCACGGAACCTGAATTGAGTTGCCAGCCCCCATGCCAGGTGGCTCACAACCGCCTGTAACTCCAGCTCCAGGGGATCTGATGCCCTCTCCTGGCCTTCATGAGTACCTACACTCACATGCATATACTCACACAGACATACACATAGACTCATATTTAAACATGTGCTAAGTCTTTAAAAAAGAAGTGATACATTTTGTCCTACAATTGTGGGACAAAAGCAAATGTAACCATGTGATTTTCCCCCTTCTATCTTTAATTCCACTTCAGTAGTCCTCGCCATTGTTCACTTCTTAAAGTGAACACTTTTCCCTTTGAAGCACAATGGCACGGGCCCTTTGAAAATTCCCATCACACCGGGTCTCCTGTGTTATTCACACTCACCTGCCTTTGCACTCACACTCACTTGCACAGCTTCTCTCGATAGCTTTCAATGTCAGCAATTTTTCCCTGTCTTCACCCGGTCTCCTGTTTATTTTAAGCTTCCAGTGTTCAAATTTAAAGCCATTTTAATCTAAGCTTAGACAATGGAACAATTTTCCACTCCTTAAAGGATCTTATGGAGGCTCACAGGCTCAGCAACAGTTCTCGCTGCCAAAGAGCCTGCCTGGCTGGTTCTTGAGTTCCGGAAGTGGGGACTTGGAAGCTACTGAGGACTTAAGGAGACAGGAGCCCCTGCTTGGGTGTGCCTCTGAGACTGCCTGATACCTCCTTGGTTCCTCTGTTTCTTTCCCAGCAGTAAAGCCACCTCAGGGAACCACAGAAAGAAAGAAGACAACTGAGGATGTCTCAGAGTGCGCAGGGAGTGATTCATCCTCAGAACACACACTTGACCGTTGCAAATGTAGAGATCTTAGTATTATGTAACATCGAGGAAAGATTCCTAAATCTAAGGGCATTTGCTTTTCTCCTTCACCAAAATGCAGCGTCTGGACCAGCTGATGAAGCTTCCTCTGGATTCTGTGAAGATGGAGCCTTGTTATACTAAAGTCACCTTGCTTCCAGAGCGCCTGCTGGATCTCCAGAGCCGCTTCCGATTCCCGCACGTTGATCTGGTGGTCCAGAGGACACAGAACTACATGCAAGAGGTGGGAGCAGAAGGGAACTGAGGGAGGATGAGGATGAGGCGGGAAAGAGGGAGAGAAGGAGAAATGCATGCTGTCAAATGCGGGGGCTGGGGGGGGGTGCTCTGCAGCTCAGGGAAGTGAGGCCTGTTCCCAGAGTCAGGTTGACTGAGGACACACAATGTCCTTCCAGTTGGCTTCATCTTTCCTCAGAAAATAAGACTCTGGGAAATAAGTAACATTAGCTGGTAATTATTTGATGGGTTGAGTCAGGCTTCAAACTTTGGCTGCACATTAGAAGCATGTGGGGAAATTTTAAGAACTACTGATGTGGTACCCCACCTCTAGTGATTTCAAATATGTATGTTTTATAATATATTTGAAATTCTTAGAGGATGGCCTCTGCTTCTATCACACTGTTTCTAACATGCAGCCAGGATCCAGAAACACTGGCTGAGTTCCCTACCTCATTGCAAGGAGACCTGTTACAGCTTCATATTTGACTTTTGTTTTTAAAACTTATTTGACTACATGTATGTTTGTGCATGCCTGCTTGCCTGTATGTGCACCATGAGCATGCAGGTGCCCTTGGAGGCTAGAAGAGGGTGTCAGATACCTCGAGTTAACACCTGGAGTTCCAGAATTGGGGAAGTAGAGGCGGGAGGATCAGATCAGGGGGTTAAGGTCTTCTTTGTCTCCATTGCAAGTTCAAGGCCAGCCTAGGCTAAATGAAACCCTGCCTTAAAAAAAACGTAAGGGATAAATGGCAGAATGATGCGACAATATGAAAACAGTCCCTTGGATAATTCTGGATCCTGGAGAGACACAGGCACAACTATAGACTAAGACATCTGAGCTGGGTCAGCTTCCTGAGCTATAAAGCCCTGTCCCAGGGTGATAGCCACTCCTGGCATGGCACCCTGACCCCGCCTCTCCTCTCAGCCCTATTGATGTCCTTCCCCATTGCTGTGACAGAACACCCAACAGGAACAGCGTAAGGGACGAGGGATTCCTTTGGGCTTGTGGGTTGAGAGGGGGCAGTCCATCAAGGCAAGAGGTCGTGGTGGATTTCACAGAGGTAGGAGCTTGTGGCCGGTGCCCACCTAGCGGAGAGGGCTCGAGCTGGGGGTGGGGGTGGGGCGATGCTATAGTCCTTAAGCCCCGCCCCCCATCTCCTCCAGCAAGGTCCCTCATCCCAAAGATTCGATAACCTCCCCCAACAGTGTCATCCAGCCGAGGACCATCCCATATTCCAACCGGAACACTAGCCTCTCAGAGGCCAGGGGAGACATGGGATGGTCAGATGGACAATGGAAGGATGTAAGTGTCCCAGAGTGACTTAGGTCCTTCTAGATGTGGAGCTTTCTCCCACCATGTCATGTGATCTGTGTCTGCATCACCAGAGCATGGAGGAGAATGACTACAGGGGCCGTGGTTCTGAGTCCTTCTGTCCTGGGGTTTCTTTCCCCACTAAGAATGATGGGTAAAGGAAAGGGAAAAAAGGATAGCATTACGAGACAGACAGACAGACAGACATGCATATATGTATAGAGAAGGGTGTTGTCCACCCTCTTCCTATCTCATAGTGGCCACTAGGTTTTTGTTTCACCATCCAGGGAGTAGGATGTGCCCTGTGTCACCCCACATTTGTGCATGGGGGGACTCCGCTCCCCTCCTCCTGCCAGAGCCTAGGCAGGCAGCCGGGGCCCGTGTTCCCAGCCCCTGACTGTGGTCTGTTTCTGTGTTGGCTTGATGGACAGCTCATGGAGAACGCAGTGTTCACCTTTGGGCAGCTGCTCTCCCCACATCTCCAAGGAGAGGCTTCCAGAACAGCAGCTGCCATCGAGAAGGTTAAGCTCCGTGTCTTAAAGGTAAGAGCTTTGTCTTCATTTGGGGGGAGCATCTGACAAGACTGTGACCCTTGTCCTGTTCCTCAGTGAGAAATACCCTGACCTCCCTTTCACCCGGTCCAGCCTCTTTTTCCCAAGCGCAGTTGACCATTGTTCACAGCAGTTTCGCTAGCGTGACTCTCCTGCCATCTAGTGGCCATTTCAGGAACCACATGTCCTCAGCACTAGCAAGCTAGAAGTGACCTGTGGGCTTACTTTCACAATTTGACAAATGTGTGTTGACTGGCCACTGCAAACACTATGACAGATATTGCATAGAATGTGACATAGGTCGGCTGCAGCCTAGCATCCCAAGTACAATACAATTCATTAAATTAGTCAGCATTTTAAATAAAAACCAAAACTTAGAGCCAAGGAACCATCCCAAGGGAAAGTATACCTGCCACATGGGATGTTTTTAATGAGCTTTATGTGTGAGTGCACGATAAAACTGTTGCGATAATAGGAGCTCACGTGTATCTGGTATTTATTTAAAGCCTTTTTAAAAATTCACGTTCCTAAATTGTCACTCCGAAGGTTTATGTTTTTAGTTTTTATTATTTATGCATGTTTGCACGTGTCTGTGTGAACATATGCCACCTGGATGTGGGTTCCCATGGAGGCCAGCAGGTGACGTCAGAGCCCTTGGAGCTGGAGGCACAGGTGTTGGGAGTCATCCAGTGTAGGTGCTGGGCACAGAATCTGGGCCCTCTAAAGAGCAGGAGGTGCCCTATCCACAGAGCCATCTCTTCAGGCCTGCTTAAAGCCTTGAAGAAAAAGACCCCAGAAGTGTACCATTTCCTTGGACTCTCCCTGAGCTCATTAGACTTCACCCCCATGGCAGACGAGGAAGCCGGTGCTCTGAAAGCTGGACTTCCTAACTCAAGCCCAGCAGGCTGGTGGACCATGAGCTTGGAGCTGAAACTGTGTTTACACCTGGTCCACTCATCTCTGCAGCCTCCAGGTTCTGGAAAACGTTGATCGCCGCAACACGGACACTAGCACACTGGCGATGAGGGGAAAGGTCAAACCCCTGCCATCACGTGCTTCGGCAGACAGGGGAGGAAGGAGCAGAAAGGTGTCCCTGTCTCCAGGCATTGGGGTGAAAGGCACTTAGAATACCTCCAGGTCAACCATATAGCCAGTGCTAAATTGTTCCTGCCCCGTGAACGCGCCCCCCCCCCCAGTCCTGGGCCAGGAACTTCCGGGGGTGTTTGGGGCCACAGGAACACACAACTGTGGATGGCTCACATAGCTCACCTTTGACACGTGTGCTAGGGTTGGGGTTTCCCGGAAGCCTTGCAACCATCCTAAGCGTTGGATGAACTGTAGAACAGACCTGTGTGGTGGGAGCCTAGCTGTTAATGGATTTGCATTCCTGAACTCAAATGTCCTGGGTCTGCTGGCGACATTTCACCGTGTTCAGCTCAGCCTCCCCTTTGTGTAGGGAGGCGGTGACGCTGTAACTGCAGAGAAGTTCAAGTGATCCGAAAATCAAATATCTCTAAAAGAGCAATTGGTTTGGAAGGAGACAAAATCCTCCCCACTAGAATCTGTGAAAGCCGTAGTTATATGTCTGGTTAGAAGGTGATAACTTACAGAATTCTACAAACATCAGGTACCAGGGACCTACATCGTATGGACTAAGAAGAGGGCAGATCTTCAAGATTTGGCCTTTCAGTGATTTTGGGTTTCTATATGAAGTCTGAATGGCCACAGATTTTCTGATAGTTTGCAACCATTCATTATTTTGACTTGTCTATTGTCCCCTTGTCCTAGTCAGGGTTTCTGTTGCTGTGAAGAGACACCATGACTATGGCAACTCTAATAAAGGGAAACATTTAATTAGGGGTGGCTTACAGTTCAAAGGTTTAGTCGGTTTTCGTCAAGGCAGGAAGCATGATGGCGTGCAGGCAGACATGGTGCTGGAGAAGTAGCTGAGAATTCATATACCTCTTGACTCACAGGCAACAGGGAATGTTCTGAGACACTGGGCAGTATCTTGAGCATAAATGAGACCTCAAAACCCACCTCCACAGTGACACACTTCCTCCAACAAGACCACACCTACTCCAACAAGGCCACACCTCCAAATAGTGCAACTCCCTTTGGGGGCCATACTCCTATTCAAACGAACTTATTGCTGCAGTTAAAGCCATGAATTTACCAATAAACTATTTGCTACTCAAAAAAAAAATGTTCTTGCCAGGGGTGGTCCCACAAGTATTCAGGCTCCAAAATCAGAACAGATTCCACCTCCCAAGGCTGCCGCAAAATCAGAACAGATTCCACCTCCCAAGACTGCCACTTCTGTCTCTCACAAATTTGCCTGCAAGAACGCACCTGGGATGTTAGATCCAGGCTCTTGGCACTGATAATTCTACCTCTCCTACCTTCCCCCGTAGCCTTCTCCACTTGGGGGCCTTTGGTCGACTAGGGATGTAATTTTGCTCGCATTTATAATCTCCAGTGCAAGTGCTCTCCTCTCTGGCCATTCTTCTTCTGGCTGAACCAGTGTGTTTACATGCCCACAGCAGTTCTCCAGAGAGCCTGTGCCCACGGCACCGGGGTCCACGCGCAAAGGAGGACGGGAATGGGCAGCTCCCAAGAGCCTGCTCTTGCTGACTCTTAAGTTCAAGTGTGTTCTTTCGCACTCCTGTCCTCGCAAGCACTAGGCTAAACCAGAGAGCGGCGGGTGAACTCTCTTATAAGCGACAGGAAGTAGATGCTTTAGTATCCACTGCCCGTTTCCGTTGTAACCACTCAGCTCTGCCACGTAGTCTCCAGTTTGGGATGTCCAGTACACTCGCTGTGTTGGTGACGCTTTAAGCCACGTTCTCTCTCCCCTCGTGGACATTATTACAAGCCACCCACACACCCACACACCTTGCAGGACAGAGAATAATTGCTATCCATGGCTCCCCTGTGTCTACCCAGCTGGGAGTAATGAAGCCCAAACTCACTCTCTAGTTTGAGCCGCATCTTTATAAAACATACCACCTCTTGGTTTCGATCCTGCCTCAGTTTCTCTGTTTGTAAAAGGGGTGGGTGAAATGGGTCATGACTTCACAGGCCAATACCCCGTTTATGCAAGAGCTCCAGAAAAAGGTCTCTGAGACCCTAAACTTATGAGAGTCCTCAGAAATCCGTGGGGGCTGAGGAAGGGAGGTGACCGGGTGGGTGTATTGTCTTCTTGTTTAAGTGAAAGTTACGGACTGAAACTGTGCTCCTTAGCCTGTGTCTCTGTGTTCACAGCAATATGACTACGACAGCAGCACCATCCGGAAGAAGATCTTCCAGGAGGCATTGATTCAAATCACACTGCCCACCGTGCAGAAGGCGCTGGCGTCCACATGCAAACCAGTAAGGAACTGGGCTGCTCCCAGGAGCCTGCTCCCGTTGACTCTTAAGCTCAAATGTTTTATTTGGCACTCCTGCATTGGCAAATGTTAGACTAAACCAGAGGTGAGGTGGATGGTTTAGGCGTCGTGGGCATTTCTGTTGCAAGCACTTGGCACTGCCGTGTGGTGCCACAGCAGTCACAGATGGTTCACAAATATATAAAGTCTACGTGTCAGTACACTTCTGCACACACGCATGCAGGCATGCAGCCCAGGATTTGTGACTCCTGAACTACAGGAAATCTCAAAGGCTAATGATCAGACTTGAGCCAAGCTCTAAGGGCTGTCATGGATTGCCAAAGGAGATGAGATGGTCTCCCATTTTATTGTTAGTCTCGTTCAGCGTGTGCACCCAAAGTTGACCCCGCTATACCCCGGAAGGTCTTACATGTGAGCACAGGCCGATTTGTTCTCTTACCTTCTGTAACTTCAGTTTACTGACATCTCTGACATAAGCTGTTGTGAGCATGGGGCTGCAGGACAGCCATGATTATGAGGTGTGAGCAGAGCAATAGACAAGAAGCACCTAGAGGCTTCTTCCAGGCTTGTCTAAGTCGGAGGGGCCCTGTGTTCTGCTCTGGGTCCCTGTTCTTGTTTTGATCAATTTCCATCATTTATGAAATTCATCTAATAATGTGTATCTTCCTTTTTCTTTTACTTTCAACTCTCCTTTGTTTTTTGGTTTTGGGTTTTGTTTGTTTGGTTGGTTTTTTTGTTTTGTTTTGTTTTTTGTTTTTTTTTGGACAGTATCTTGCTGTGTAGCCCAGGCTAGGCTTTAAACTCCTGATCCATCTGGCTTAGCGCCCCCACCATGCTAAAATTACTCCTCCACACCTGTCTCAAGAACGGGGAAATTCAGATGATACATTTTCCATCTGATGGAGTTCACCTCATATGGCAGGCCTGGTGTTAAACATTTCCTATCGTTCATCAAAATGAATTTCCCAGCAGTCCTCGGAGGAGGAGAGGACTGTTCACATCCTCAGGGAGGCTAAGTGGTTGACTAGCAAGCCCAAGGTCACGAAGCCAGTTACCATCAGCTGAATCCAGTTTGTATTTCCCTATGACCCAGCGGGCACTCAGCAAATGGCATCAGCCTCTCCTCCAACTGTTACAATGACTGCTCCTGCATTCCAAAAAAATGACTTAGGAGTTCGGCCATCTGCAAGGCTCATTCCCCCTTGGAGTCAATAAGAAAGAGCATCATAGAATTATTAAATGGCTTTTTGACAGTTTGGAGAGTCTCCAAGCACTGAACATTAAAGTCCTTTGTGTGGGTTATTATACTGTGGAATTTTCTCTGGTTGTTTTCGTATTCTATAAATGCTGTTTTTCTTCAGATAGTCATTGGCATATTCAGTCTTGTATCTATTTATTCCTGGAGTATTTCTTTGGTGGAAAGGGTCTGAGAAACCACAGGAGAAAGGAATTGGTCTGTATGAGTGTCCCTGGGCCGAATGTGATGGACAGCCTGAGGGATTACTAATCTACCTTAGAATGTGTCTTCACACAGAGATGCTGCTTAAAATGTGTTTTCATTCCTCAAGGGAAGTGTGGAGGCCTTAGTGCCTCCTTCCCCATGTGAGGGGGAGGAAGGAGGGCCCCCCTTCTTCCTCTGCCCAATCTATGCAGCTCCTGCTGGTGTTTTGTTTTTGCATGTGTGTGTGTGTGTGTATGTGTGTGTGTGTGTGTGTGTGTGTGTGTGTTATGTATACATGTGTTTTGCATGTATAGGTGCACATATGTTTTCAGGTATGTATGCCTGTGTGCATGTAGGCCAGAGATTGCCACAGAATGTTTACCTCCATCTCACTGAACGTGGAGCTTGCCAATCAGTCCATCTGAACAACTGGGCCTAGGGACCCTGTCTCTGTTTTCCAAGCACTGGGTTTACAGGCAGTCCAACCCCCCTCCACGTTCCCTTGCCTTTATGCGGGTGTTAGAGACCTGAATGTAGGCAAACATGATGCTTTATCCAATGAGCCATCCCCCCCCCCCAGCCATGGCTCTTGCCATTTGTAGTTGAGAGAGGTTGCTTTCAAAAGAGCCCGTGACCCTGACTTTTCAGTGATAAAGGATATTGTGTTGGTCTCAAGAGCTTTTGGAAACCCCAGGTGTATAGGCAGATATATTAGAGGATTGTCTGCTTCATAGAAGTCTTTATTTTCCTAAAGAGAGTTTTTCTTAGTTCTTTCAGTAGCGATTTCCCAGATCTGTGACACTCCGCTCCACCCTAGATATGCATTAGAATTGCCTATGGTGGCATTTTCTTTTTCCAATGTCAGGATTCCATTTTAGTTGATCCAGAAAATTAAGCATCTGACCCAGTTCAATTGTCTCATCATGGAAGATGTGCTTTGTAAAATCAGACCACATCCCAGCAACATAAATGTCCCTCTGTTACCTTCCCACAGAATTACTTAACTGGATGGGAATCTGTTTTCTATTTATTCAGCAAACACACCTCAAAAGTGTATCAAACAAGATCCAGGTACTGTGGCATGCATAGAACATGATCCAGGTCACCGTCCCTGCTGTCCTGGAGTTCCCAGTATGGAGGCAGTTACCATGTGAGCAACACTGCAGTGCCCGCATGGGGTAGCAGCTTCTAGCGAAGGTAGCAACTTCCATAGCTGAGCTCGGGGCCCTTCAGGGGACTCCCCAGAGTCATGCTTGCACTCGGTGCCAGTGGATGAGTGACAGGGGAGTGAGAAATAACAAGGGCCATTGAGGTCTGAGCTTGCACCCCTCATATAATAGAAGTAAAGACAGGCTCAGAGCGCTGTCGCGTTTGCCCAGGCTCCCGTGAGCAGTGTCCAGTCTCCTGGACAGTACCCCTTCCATATCTTTATGACCTTCTAGAGATCACTGAAGCTCGTGTCCCTTCGGTCTTTCCCCTACCTTCTCAGGTGGACATAAATAGGCCCCATTGCCACCCACTGGTGGTGGTGGTAGCATAAAACCCTGGGCCACAGCACCCCCGTGTCTTAGCACTGAAAGCTGTCTGAATGTGGTTGCTTCTTACTGCCTGCTACAAATGCGGGCCATCATAGCAAAAGGCATCAGTGCCCACTGCCAAGTCCCTGGTTTTCTAAAAGCTGCATAACAGGGAACCCCGCCCCCAGCACTGTTACGTGCCTGAATAACTCAATTCATCTCTGGCGTATAATTAGCAGCATTTTATCCCTGCCTGGTCTTCATGCTGGTAATAAGGTATAGATGTAACCAACCGTCTTATTAAATAAGAAACACAGAAACAATGCAAAAGAGAAAGCTGAGAGGTCAGAGCTCAGAGCTAAAATCTCACCCTTCTGCCTGCGGTGTCCCAGCTTCCCGAATGAGGGTTCTATTTCCTGTCTGTTCATCTATTTAAAGTATTTTGTTCTGCCTTCTCATTGGTTGTAAACCCAAACACGTGACTGCCTCGTCACTGTCTGAATGTACAGCCCCCTAGGTCTTAAAGGCATATGTCTCCAATGCTGGCTATATCCCTGAACACACAGATATCTATGGGATTAAAGGCGTGTGCCACCACCGCCACACTCTTGCTATGGCTCTAATAGCTCTGACCCCCGGGCAACTTTATTTATTAACATACAATCAAAATCACATTTCAGTACAATTAGATTACCACCACAATAAGGCATTTTTGGAAGGCTCTGGGAGGCTGGGAAAGTCAAGGGATTTTGCATCATGTCTGAGCTGTCTTGGAATGGGAGCCCATCAGTGCCCATTGAAAAGGAAGACTCCTTGGTTCTCAACTGGAAAAGGACTTGTGTGTTAATAATGTTGAACATATAGCTACACCTGATCCAGCGACCCCACTTCTACGTATCTACCTAAGAGAAACAAGTTCTTAAGTTGTCCATACAGAATAGAATGTGCACAAAAATGTCCATTAGCGGAGAAGTCAATGTCTTAGTCACTGTCCTGTTGCTGTGAAGAGACACCATGACCAAGGCAAGTTATAAGAGAAAGCATTGAATTGGGGCTGGGCTTACAGTTGCAGAGGCTTAGTCCGTTATCATCTTGGCAGGGAGCACGGTGACATGCAAGGCAGGCATGGTGCTGAGGAAGTATTTGAGAGCCGCATCCTTACCTACGGACAGACAGAGACACAGAGACTGGGCCTGGTGTGCACTTTTGAAACCTCAAAGCCCACCCCCAGTGATAGATACACTTCCTCCAACAAGACCACACCTACTCTAACCAGGCCACACCTTCTAATCCTTATCAAATAGTGCCCATCCTTGGTGATTAAGCATTTAAATATATGACCCTATGGGGGCCATTCTTATTCACGTCACCACAGTCAATGTCAAATTAGTATGGATGGTCAATTCCAGCTTAACTATGTAGTGAATGATATTTATCCATAAAGAGGAATGAGCTGCTGATCCATGTATGTATTCCCAGTGCACAGAAAGGGATGGGGATGACGGATGGCTGGGTGCCTCCTTCACAGTTAACAGGCACAAGGTGCTTAGTGCATAGGCTGGAGGCAGAGGGAACCCGGGAGACGGTGGCTGCAGTTATCCCAGCATCTCTAGCCTGCAGGACCAGATGCTGTCTTTCCACGATCTACGAGGAGGCGACTGGGAGTCACCCTTTCCTCGTCTCTTTTGAAAATAGGCATCTTGAATTTTTTTCTTCTTTTATTTTCAGTATTATACATTAATTACAAGAAATAATGGGTTTCTTTTTATTTCCATCTGTGTCCATAATGCATGTTGACTATTCTCACCCCATCAGCCTCTCTTGTCCCCACTCTTCTCTCCCGCCAATCATCTTTCCAAATAGCCTTCCTTCTGCTTTTATGTCTTTTTAAATCATTCCTCAATCTAGATTCTGCATGTGAGAGACAAAAGGTGACGTTCGTCTTTCTGGGTCTGGATTATTCCACTGATCTCCGTTTGATCCACTTCCCTGCATGGGACACACTTTCATTTCTTGTGTATGGACCACAGTTTCTTTATTCAGTCATCTGCTGATGGGCACCTAGGTTGGATCCATAGCTTGGCTATTAGAATAGTTTCCTTCAGATACAGATGCAAGAGTGTTAGCTGGATCACATGGTAGTTCTAATTTTAGTTTTCCCAGGAAGGTCCATCCTAATGTAAATAATGCCTCAGCTAACTCCTATACCTACCAGCCCTGTGTAAAGGTTCCCGCCTCTCCACATCCTCACCAGCACTGGGTCTCTGCCATTCTGATAGTGTGAGATGGAATTTCAATGTAGCTCTGAGTTGTACTCCTCTGATGTCCTGCCTTTTCTTCTTCCTCCTTTTCTCTCTCACTTCCCAGGAGCTTCAGAAATATGAGCAGTTCATCTTCGCAGATCATACCAACATGATCCATGTCGAGAATGTCTATGAAGAGATTTTGTATCAGATCCTCCTTGACGAAACCCTGAAAGGTAAAGATGGCTTGCTCCACACTGGAGGGAATGCTCCATCATGGGAAGCACCCCTGAAACAGAACTCAGAGTGAGGAAGAGCTGCAGCTGATTTGGGTGTGCAGGGGAGACAGCCAGGAGAGGGCGGGCAGGCAGGACCAACCTCGACTGTGCATCCACGAGGGCTACACCCTGGGGTCATGACAGGCTGCTTTCAAAGCAAGCATGAATTCTGCAGGGTGAGAGTCCACACTTTATCACTGGAGAGGAAAGAAGCCGCGGCTTATTGGGGCTGAACTGAGGGTCCGTCCTGAGGATCTGTCTTTGCCACTCTGTGTCAGGACAACAAAAGGCTTTCACAGCTGAACAGAGGTGACTCCGGCAGCAGGCCTAACTGTTGCTCTCTCAGCACATTCCTCCCCTCTGCTCAGCCAGACAGAGACGCGGGCCAATGGCATGGCACTCTGAGAGCCTCTTTAGGAGTCTGGCATCCACCGCACTGTGTATCAGGGCCCTGTCTAGGATTACAGTGTGGATAGATATACATTGAAAAATACTTTGGAGGAGGCTGCCATCTGTCTGTGTGAGTGAAACTTATTTAGTGTCCGTGACTAAAACACCTCCTCCAGTGAGAGAACTGGGCCAGCACGAGCCTCAGGTCATGGTAGCTAATCAGAGGGGGTCCCAGAGGAGGACAGCAAAGGTGTCAACGTGGTATCAGCACAGAGGTCATGGACAGCCCGCTATAGAAGATTCCTCCCCTCCACACCCTGCCCTCTGCCTGAAACATGCCGTCTGTCAGAGCACACACTAGTGCCGCCTGCTGAAAAATCATGCTCACTGCCCTTAGTGGTTCTGTCTCCCTCTTCGAGGTGGCATGGTTGGACACTACACCCCTGCACAGAGGTCTGCGGTCAGATGGTCAGGCACCATTGTTTCTGCGGTTACTGTCTATGTTCTTCTCCATGCCTTTGAGACTGAGATAGGTGCAAATAAGTGCCCATCTCGAACACTCGAGGCCACACAAGCTCTCTCAGCTGTACGCTTAGCCCTGAAAACCCGCTACACAATCAGACAAGACAGGGAAGTGGAAAGCCTGCCCCTGTCATAGTGGAGTTCCAAACGAGCCACTCATCTTAGTATCCAGCGACACCGATGTAGATGACATCCTTGTAGACTCTGAGTTCTTTGAAAGTCAAGGCTTGCTTTCTTCTATTCTCCTGGATTGATGCTGGTCTCAGCAAGGGTTTCTCGGTTAAAGACATTTATGAATGAACACTGCCGAGATTCAGAGTTGGGAACGTTTACAGGTTTTGATCATCAGGAAAAAGGCTACCTGGAGGAGATTGGTCCTAAGCTGGATTTTGAAACTGAGAATTTGGAGAGCCAGAGGAGCTGGTAGGAAGGTTGCCTTCTAGGTAAAAATCAGAAAATCCAGGTTTGCTTGGCAGAGTGCTAATGTCGTGTTTTGTTTTCTGGTCTCTCTCAGTGATAACGGAGGCAGCTATCTTGAAGAAACACAACTTATTTGAAGACAACATGGCCTTGCCCAGTGAAAGTGTATCCAGCCTGACAGATCTCAAAACCCCCATGGGGTCAAATCAAGCTAGCCCAGCCAGAAGAGTGTCTGCCATTCTACCAGGAGCTCCAGATAATGAAGTGTTCCAGGAGCCAGAGGAAAAGAGGCAGCAGCCTGGGGTGCTGGGCTCATTGGCCAGAGAAGAAAGTATTCCCATCCCCGAGTCCAGTCCTCCTTCCAGTGGGGATGGGCAGGTGACTGTGTCCAGTATGGATCACGCCGCTGGGAGTCCTCTCACTGCAGAGGACACAGCAGGACCCCTCGGCTCACGCTTGTCGGAGGTGGAAGGTGGGGAGACCCTTAAAGATGAAGAACCGACCTGTGAGAAGCCAGAGTCTGTCACCATCCCAGGGTCCTTGAAGGAGCTGAAAGAGTTGCTGACTGTGACGGTGTCCGTGGAGTCTGCCCCAGGGACTGAAAACGATACACACAAGGGGACACCTGTTCCCCAAGAAAACGAAAAAGAAGAAGAAAACAAGATCTACCCAGAAGCCAGCCAGCCAGCTGCCAGCCGGCAGGACAACTGTGAAGAAAGTGAGGTCGGAGAGAGGGGGGTTCCTCCTACCCCTTTGGAAGTGGAGGTTCCTGGAGTAGATGTAGGGGCATTGCCAGAGGCTAGCAGCCCTACCTCTCCGTCCACTGGTGGGGGGCTCACGGAGGACACCAGCTGTCTCGGTCCCTCAGGGGAGCCATCTGCGGCTCCCGAGCCCACTGGGAAGGTACCCCCAGCCATGGTTTCCCCAGAGGCCACCACCCATGCAGGAGGTGAGGCCGGGCATGCTGTGGGGGTCACACTGCAGGAAGAGGCCACGCTAAGTTCTAATCCCATCTGTTCTACGGAGAGGAATGAGGTGCCCCAGGCTTCTGAGGATCAAGAGGTGCTGGGAGGGAAGGATAGCCCAGTCCTTGCTATGGCTACAGAGCAAGTCAATGCTACCCAGGTGCATGGGTGTCAGTGGGTGGTAGAGGATGCGCCAGGCACTGACAGCCCAGATGTGCATGATCATGCTGCGAGCTCCCCAGAACAGCCCTCTGAGGAGTGCTAGAAACAATTTGACTGTAGTTTTTCTTTGAAAACTATCAGTCAAAGGGGTTTCGTTATGGGTATCTGTAGGGGAGTGCATGTGGGTTGCTATAGAAATTTTGAAGTATTTTCTTAATTTGAATGATAACGCCAAAGGGAATGTATGCAGGGTGTGAACACTGAGGCCAGCTTTGGGGAGCTGACCTGCTCCCTGTGAATGATTCCATTAGCATCTTAATAGAAATGATAAGAGAACCGGAATGTGGGGTGAAAAGCAGTTAAAGGGGCTCCAGAGAGGGAGAAGTCCTGCAGCAGAGACTAAAAGAGCAGGGACTGGCACCCCAATATTCTCGTCACTGAAATGTGGTGCGGATTTTGTGCTGCACTTGAAGGTATTTTTAGCGAGAGTGCAAAGGTCTGCAGTGACTCCAGCCTCGCCCCCCCACCCCCACTCTGTCAGCGTCACTGCCTCGTAAGTGGCATCTGTCCAAGGCCAGGGCACACGAAAGAGGAAGTCATGAGCACCAGGCACCCCTGCCCTGTGAAGTGCCCCAGAGCCAGTCATGGCTGGTAGATCTCAGGCGAGGCGGAGCAAAAATCCAGGTGGAAGGTCTGTGGAACCATCTAGAAGCCCTGTTCCTAATCCTGCTATCAATTCCTTGTTGGTTCATGTTGTTGATTTGCACTAATTAATCACCTTTTCAGGAAATTCAGATGGGGCAAGAGATTGCATTGGCACAAATTAGCCTTAGAGTGTGCAAAGTGCTTGGTGACTACATTTTCTAGCTCAAAACCTGCCAGTCACACAGACATTATTTTAACAGCTAGTGTGTGCTCTGTTAGGCACAGGAAGAAATAGAAGATCAGGTGTTTTGCTTCATATGCATTAAAGGGCTCCTAAGAATTTAGTCTAGAAGGAAAGAATATTTTTTCCAGTTTTTAAGTTTCAGTGACAGCCTTGACTCCTTCCATTCACATGGTCCTGGTTTAGTCTCAGAAGGGAATGAGAATGCATGAATGAACACAGGAATGAATGAAGTCAGACAAGTTTATGTCATTACCAAAGAGATCACCGAAAGTAGAAACGGTTTCATCATTCAACAAATTAATTCCTTAAGTACCCTGTCAGGTACCAAGCCTGGGGATACCATGAAGAAAAGACCCCCGCTCCTCCTTTCTGAAGGAGCCAGGAAGGAATTCACCTTGAAAGGAGATTGTGTAACTGTTAGTATAAGAGATGAGTGGACTCAGGTGTAATCAAAAAGACATATCTTATTGGGTTTCAGAGAAAGCTCAGATCATTCCCTGAAAGTTGCAGTCCCAGGCAGTGGGCCCGAAGCTTCCTTTCACATTTTAACATCAGAACCTCACACTTTGTCTTCCGAGTTTGTTTTGACTCAGCACCGTCAAGAATAACTTCCTTCAGAGAAGTTATCCCACACTTCAGCCATTTAAGCAGGAATGGAGCTTTTTTCCCTCCCCACCTCTCCCACAAAGAATTTCTGTGATTTCTAAGTCATCAAGGATGAGTAATAATCACATCAGCATGGTCTCATATTGAATCATTGCTCCTTTCCTTAGAACATTTGTATCCTCGGTGTCCATGAGATATCCCACCATTAAGTAAGGAAGCTATGGCCAATCTCCCATGGTCCCTGCTTACCTTATACCTGGTCTTCAGCATGCTGTACCAAAATTGTGTTTACTTCCTGTCTCTTCCACAACCTCCTTTCTTCAAGGACTGAAACTAGGGATTACTCATCATTTGTTCTTTCCGCTGGAAACCCACAGCCTTGAATAATGGCTTCCTGCATGCCGAGTAACTTGAACATCCCAGGGCCTAGCACAAGTACTGAGAAGCTTTGTGCTGCTCCAAAGAGGTGGGAACTGAACACCTGGCACACTGCTGTGCAGGGCCTATTTGGAGCTTGCTTTTAGACAGGGAGAGGTTTTTAATTAACTTTCTGACCATGTTGAATCTCCCCATACAGTCCAATGCTGAAGGGGCAGATGGCCAAATGGCCCGCAGCTCTGCCCAGTAAGGCAGGGAGCCAAGAGAACAGTGTCTAGCTCCACAAACATTGCCCTTCTTTCTTGGGAGAGCCATGGCTATCACAGAGTCCCATTTCATGCCAACCCCACTCCAGAACCTTCCATCTGCCCCGCTTTTGCTCACCCCATGAGAAGCTAAGTGTAAATGAGAGTTCATGTCGCTGAATTAGCTGGATGAGAAGTAGGGCCAATCAGGAAGGCCAGAGAGGCATAGGCACTAAGTAGCAAGACATTCTAGAAAACGCCACGAACCCTTTCTGGACATGTTTCACACGGCCAAGTTCTCCAAAATAGGCAAGGCAGCTGTTACACTGGAGGATAGATGAGGAACCTGCAGCCCATTGAAAAAGTCTGCATGTGTGGTAACATGTCGAAAGAGTGTCTTGCTTTAAATTAATTTGTGTGTGGCCTAGTGTTTCCACAGGGGAGCAAGGTGCTGGTAATCTGAATGGGCAATTTCTGCCTTTGCAAAGCTGTTACAGACTCCTAGTTCTTGGCCAAAACACCAGGACTTTAATCCAGTGATGCTACTTACTGACCTTTCACTAAGAGATTTTCCTTGAAAAAAAAAATGACTTGTCAGTTTGTCCTGTGTAACTTGGCACAGTGTATGGAATTATGCAGTAACCACACACATACACACACACACACACACACACACACACACACACACACACACACACACCCCACTACAAAGTCAGGTTCCGGTCGTTGTTTTCAAAGAGGTTGAGTGTGAAGAATGGCAGGTCATTAGGTTTGTCCTTCTGTAGATTTTATTATACAGATCCTCAGGTTTGCCCTTGTAATTCTTCAGATTAAAGCCAATGGCTTCAGAGGATTTTACAGTTCTCCCAGACAAAAGTGATTTGATTTGTTATTTTTGTAAAGTGTGACCTGAGGGTAAGGTTTCAGAGAGAGTACTTGCTTAGCAGGCTGGAGGTCCCACTTTAACCCAAAAGTGGGAGTGGCAGGGGAGCTATGTGACATGTGCTAAATAGTCATTAGTCATTTCAGTATGGGGGAAGAAATGACATTATTAACTTTGTCTTAAACCATAATATAGTTTCACTCTGTGAGAATGCTGGTGCCATGTGCCTTCTTTACCATAAACGTACGCGACTAGGGATTTGCTTTCTCAAGTCTGGGACTTTGTGAAAAAGAATTCTACACTGTGGTTTTATTTTTGCATTCATTATATAAAGCAAGTAAACTAAAAACACTTTGTAACCATGTATTTACTCTGCCAAATGCCTATATTCCAATAAAATATTCATCCCTGAAGGGCTGTCCAGATGTCTTTTATTTGGGATGGGGCTGGCTTCATCTTTTAAGCAAATGCCATACTGGAGCTGCAAGGAACAGTCCTTAAAAATGAAAAGGTGAGTCACTCTTGCTGGCTTCGGAGACTAACTTTCTCTCTCGCTGTTGTCAGGGTGAAATCTGCTGGGGCACCACTTAATGCCCAATGAAATTCTGCTTTGATAACACACAAGCTTATTTTTCAGCAAACTGGACTGCATCCATAATCCAGCAATGGGCAATTACTCTTGATATAATTGAACGGCTGTTCAAACTTCAGTATATTTTCAGTGGGCGAGATTGAGTCAAACATTTCTTCCTGCTGGAATTATAAATAAAACTATTGACTTACCAACACTCACAGTTGCTCATTTATCCGTGAATTCTCGCATCCACAGAGAGTCACTGTGTGTCTCTTAGAGGCAGACACTGCAGTGAATGGTAGGAGAGTGTAGTAGTGACTGCTGTGGGCAGGACCCTTGATGTTCTCAAATTCTTGGGGTGGATATGGCCAGGGAGAACCTCTAGCCCACATTTGATTCCTCTAATGACATAAACTTCATCAGTGATGTCAGTTTTAGCTCTGTACCAACAATTTAACTCAAGAGAAAAAAAATATAGTGGAAACAGCAAGTCCAGTAGGGATGGGAGGCACTCAAGATGTTTGATCCTTCCTCCCTTCCTCCCTCCGCCTGCCTCCCAAGTTTCCGGTGTGTAAGGGTCATCTAGAGTGGCCTCTCCAGGAGTTCTAGGTAGAGACACTAATTAGATGGGAGTTTGGGGGTGGGGGAGTGTGACTTAAAACCCTTCTTGCAGGTCCTTCTTAGATGAGATGGTTATTGGCTGGGAGTGACTTAGGGAGGACACGGAGGTCTTGGGAGCGGTCACGTGGATCTGCCTCTGAACGGCTCGGAATCTTTGCCACAATCCTCACCCATCCAGAGCATCTGATTTCCCTTTCTCCAGCTGGCCAGTTCCCGTTGTTTTCTGGAAGAGTCAGGACAAGTGAGGCTATACCCTCCTCTCTGTTCCATACCACCCAGGGTCACTTTCTGAACTTTGACCCTTCTGGTCATCCTATCTTACTCCAGGGCAGCCTTCTACTTTCTTGATGCCTTTGGGGAAGGGATCCTCCAGTATTTAATCCTTGTGTCTCTAGCATCCTTGCACAGAGGAAATGCTCAACACAAGTTGAATGAATGAATTGATAGACCTCCTCCATCCCGGATGGAAACAAGAGATAGGGTGGATGCTGTCCCTTCAGCACAGGGCTTGGGATGCTAGCAAGTTTATTCATGCATCCTCAGCGTTCTGAGCTACATCTGTTGTAGAAATGAAACTTGACCATGTGTTTTGCATACTCACATCTCTGGAAGTGTCCTGAAGAGTGACATCATTTAAAAAAAAATCACACTAAGGACTATAAACCCAGTTTTCAGGGTAGCAGGCAGTCACCACTAGATTTTCCTAAGGTCTCTGATGTAAACTATCCAAAAAGGATAAGAAGTTCCCTTGCAGTACAATCTGGTGCGCACAACATCAGCAGATGACCATGAACACCATTGCCATCAGGCCAGCTCTCTTGGGTTGGGCAGGGAAGACGATGCAGAGACTTAGAGGAGAAATCTTCCCAGGATTCCTTTACCCAACCCCTTACCTAAGCTCTTTCCAGGAAGCTGGAGTCTTCCAAGGACTCTGCCCTAGACCTTCTGCAGACTCAGCTGGGGCCCCACTTTGTGGGAAGGGAATGTGTTATTCCCATTTTTTTTTTTAAATCTCCTAAGAAAGACGTAAATGAGATTTTTGAGTGAGGCATGATGGTGTCCCAGATATTGGGAGGCCAAAAGAGGGAGATTATTTGAGCTCAGGACTTGGAGAACAGTGTGAGACCTCCCACCTTTAAAAAAAAAAAAAAAAAAAAAAAAAAA